CCTCCGCGAGGGAGTTGATCCTTCGCTGCGATCCGCTCCAGTTCTTCCCACACGAAATCTTCACCGTGCAGCTCATTCTCTCATAGTAATCGGGTACCTCTCAGTGTGCATAGTAAGAGAAACGATCAAGCGACACACGCGATAACGCACCTGATCGTTGCATGTACTCTCTCCGCGATGCTCACGGAGTCCAATGTACCGATACGTGGCGTGTATGTATGTATATATGTATATTTATATGTATATATATACGTATGCGTGTACGTTCCCTTGGTCAAAGCTTGTCACTTGTCGAACGAGAGGAACATCGTCTGGGACATGAACGAACAAATTTGCCTGCCCAGTCGCCCTTTCCTGCCGTTTCCTACACTCCCGGAGACACGTGTTTATCACTGGAACGTTAATTGGAACGGTACGAGGGGACGCGAGGATTATCGTTAGACGACAGACTGATTCCGCGAACGTAGAAAAAAATAAAGAAGGAACGCGTGTGTATCGCGTGTTAATTGTCCGTTCAAACGATAGTTCTCGGTAGAGGGAACAAGTTTCGCGGCGATCCCTTTTATTTCTTTCTTCTTTCCTTTTTGTTTCGTTCGACTCGTTTCACACCTTTCGTCCTTTGACGATGTTTCGATCGATTTCGACCGATCCGTTCCAGTCGAACGACGTGAAAAATGTGAACTCGGGCACTCAGCTTCTAGATATAACTCTTGTTAAGGCTACAGACGTCACGCGATCCCGTATTTTTACACGTTCGAATACGTTAATACGCGATCACCGTCAGTTAACTCGGGCTTCGATTACTTCCGTGATATTAGTTTGTCGAGCGATGTACGCCGCAAACACATACAACCTCGTTCGATGCTGAGGCGAGACTGAATGTCTAGCGGACGAGCTGCCCGGTTCGCCAATGGCGTCACATGGTCACGCAGGCGCCGTCGAGTCTCGCTTGCTTCGGGGCATCTTCTCTCTGGGTCGGTTGTGTGGGGTACCGCGAAAACCTGAACCGCGTTTTTCCGCGAATCTTCGCGTTGATTCCTCTTAAATACTGCGCTCAATTTTGCAATCGTTTTTTTCTCTTATTTCTTCTCTCTACAGAAACGAACGATACGACGATAGATTAAAACGAATCGCTGACTTCGTTAATTTTATTTTCTCCTTTTCTTTTCTGATGTAATGGACTGATGAATTTACGAATGTTGAGTAGGTGTTTTAATTTTTTATTTAAATCGTTTTTAATACTTATTGAAAGAGAGAAATTTTTTTTCTTTCAACGTAGATTTGATTTTTTATTTGAGAGATAATGACGCATATATGTACATACGTTTTCGTTTGATTCATGTATATTTCATAAGATACAAAAAAATGCAATGAATACATATGTGTATATTTTCTGTTTATATTTTTTTCAGGTTTTTCAAAATATTTTTTAACATTATCTGCTTCGTTTAATATCCGTCAAAATATACCGTTGAGTAGTAAAAAATAATTATTTTTTCCTGACGAATTAATAAGTTCTTGAAGAGGTTAAAGTTCTTCGATTGTTTTAATGAAAAATTCAATGCGAATTTTAAGAATTTATTTTAAGACGCAAAAGACCAGTTTCTTAATCTCTTAACTCTAAAAAAAAATTTATTTATGACGCACAGCACTCCAAATCAAATGATCATTAAATCCATATAAATTAATATCAATTTTATATATATATATATATAATATTATTCAAAAGAAAAAAAGGGAAGTACAAACTTTTTTTATTTTCAATTTGTAACGATTATTCAAACAAAACTCGTAGATATTTCATTAAGAGCTTCTGTATCATAAGATCGGATTGACGAGAAGTCAATTTAATCAAATATCTTCACCTCTTTCCATAGATACAAAATTGAATTTCACGATTGGTTCGTCCAGTTTTACCGTATATTTTTGGTATCGTGTTATCTTATAGACAGATAGTTTATTCGTGTAATCTCTTTTTTATGATCTATACTGGTAATCTACTACCATATGGCTCGATATTCCGGATATAGGTCACCCGAAGGCACGTGTTTCCCCATTAGACGAACAATTAGAATCATTATTCGTGAATGGAGCTCGTTTTAATACGTTCTGACAAGAATGAAAAACTGTCAGTAACGATGGCGATTTGCATTGTTTGAAAACTGTGTTGCTTGTCAATGACGCATAAAAGAATATCAATCGCTCGAGCGGAATACTTAACACCAGAATCATCACGAATAGAGAAATAATTAACAGGAAAATTAAGCCTATTAATAAATAATTCGGTTTTTCCAACGGCTACGCAGTTAAAGAATAACGAAAAAACTCTCTTCGAGTTTATCGCCTTTTATTTCTTTTTTCATTTTTTCCGGGAATATTAATAGCATAATTCTTCGGTGAAATAGAAAAACACAAATTACCCTCGATAATCGATAAAACGATTACTTCCTTAAAATCTATGCTCACCCATATACGTTCAGCGGTAGCGTAATATTCTTTTCATCGTATTCAGTTGAAAGCAGTAAAGAGGCTTTGCCTTTCACAACGATTTATTCGAGCTTCTTGGGATTTGCGTAAAACGGCTTGAGTCAAGAATATTTAATAAACGACGATTTCCACGTATGTTCGACACCGATTCTCAAGTGTAATGCATATATTCGATTCGTGTTCTCGTTACCGAGTTCTCATTGTTAAAGAAAACGAAGCGACTCGTCGTCACTGAGTCACCGTGTCATGCGAAACGAACGTCCTCACAAAGAAATAAAAGGAAGGCGACTAAATTCGTTCTTTTATTCCCGTCTGAACCGCGCAGCAATTGCTGCGGTTATCTAGTATGTTACGAGCTTTACATCGATCGATACACAAGAACCATGATAATATGTGCAAAGTCACGAATCATCCGTAATGACTTTCGTCGAATCAACAGATAGCGCGACACATGTTTACGCTTTCAATAGCTGTTCTTCACGTGACTCTTTCATGCAAATATCCTTAACAATTCGATCGAATGTATGTCAATTAAATATTTTCATCATCTTGAATTCGAACTCGATTAAATACATACCACGATTAATCTTATTGATCAATCGATTTAGATAAATGGATAAGGAATTACCAAAAAAAAAAAAAAAAAATTCTTCTTGATCGATAAACGGGAATTCTAAAGTTCTATTTCGATGGGAAAGATTGTGTTAAATTTTGCGACGAGGCAGTAACGCGTTTATCGTCCAAACGCTCCATGGTAACGAATTCCACGTGATTCTTGCGGCTTTCGTGGCTAAGCTCACACTCGGGCTCTGGTTACGTTCGTCCTCGCGTAGATCAAATTTTGGCACGATGCTGAAGTTTCAAACCGCGACCAAAGAGGAGCTGAAACTGGCCGCAGCCGTTCAACGAAGGCGGCAGATCGAGGCAGAGAGAAAGGAACGGATTTTCAATGCACGATTCAGAAAAATCGGGGTAAGTCTCATGGGGGCAAAGTGTTTTCAGTCCTTTAGTCACGGCAGATTTGTTGGCGTGTTATACGATCGATTCCTGTGTATTCGTGTGAAATGATAAAAAAAAGAATCCGCACGCGAAAGAACGATATGTATTGTGATTCATTATCGTGTGATAACGATTTTTATACATGTAATTTCCGCAGATAGACAAGGAATTTTTGGACAAACAGGTCGAGGAAAAGAAGCAGCAACGTGAACTGGAAGAAGCCCGAGAATCCGAACTCGACGAGATTTTGCTTCAAAGTTGTAAGATCGGTTTGCTATTGGAGAAACAACAAGAAGAGGTAAATTGTTAATTATTGGCGAAAAAGCAGCCACGATGATTAATCGTCTTTTGCATCATTAAATTAAAGATTCTTACGTTCATCCGTCTACTTGATTGTTCTTTTCTTCTTTCTTAGCGAAACTAGGATTACACGTTTTATCTGTGATTGATATTCCAGGAAAGGCGAAAGATCCACAAGGAGATCGAGCATTATAGACAGCAATATCAACAACGTCAGGAATGCGACCTGCCGAAAAAAGGCGAACGCGATCTATCCTTTAGCGAGCTGTAATTATTGCCACGATTGATTCCATTTCTCTCCGATAATTTCGTTAAAATATTTAATTTTTTCCAAAAACCGTGCAGATTAAAAAGTGAAGAGGATGATTTTAAGGAAAAGTCGAAGGCAAAGAAGGAAGAGATGAGGTGGTGGTTCGAGAAACAAATGCAGGAACATCAGTCCGCCGAGAGCGAACGGAAGGAACTCGAGAAAGCCCAAGAAGCAGCCATCCTTTCCAGAGACAAGCGTGCCATGAAGATAGCTCAGATGGAAGAAGATTGTCGTCGAAAGTTGAACGAAGCCACCGCACGATTTAATCAAGCCATGGTAAGGCTTTCTTCTATTTAGTCCTTTGATCAAACATCCGGGAACTGCGTGTTTCGGAAACTGCAAGAAAAAGATAAGAATCTTATTATCCGACAATTCTATTTTCCATACATGAAGGAAAATCGAATCTTTTCACACGAATAGAGATGAAGTACAAACCTTGTTTTGATACTCTCCTAGTTATTTGCGTGTTGGTATCGATGCTCGTGTACGACGAGAAAGTGAAAATTCAGATAATTAACGCTTGATGACTCTCCATCGCATTAATTGATTTAAAATCTCCCTCTCGTAAGCCTCTTCTCTTGTCACGAGAACGAGCCAATGACGTTGAACCGTGAAATGTCAAAGTTCAACGGTAACAAAATCTCGTTATTCTTGATACGAGTGTTCTGTTCTGGTCGCTGATGATATTCCCCTTGTGTCACCGTATCGTCGATGAGCGAATCATTGTTACTCGGTCGCTTAACACGCGTCCTGAACACGATCCACACACAGTTAACATAAACCTTCGCCGAAGGTGAGCACCGTTTACAGTGAGGCTGCTATACGGTCGATGAGCAAACTTGGTGACGTCATCGACTCACGAGTCTCGGTAATAATACGGCGAACGATCATCCAATCGCTTCCCCATCTCTTTCCACGCGTTCCCGTCCTTGACTTTTTTTTTTTTTTCTTTTCGAGCTGACACGCTCCGTTGGACGTACGTTTTGGTCGAATGACCGGCTTCGTTTTTCCCCTTCCAACGATAGGCAGAGGAACAGGAATACCGTCGCCGTTGCGAAGCCCTTCAAGAGGAGGAGGACAAGAAGGCGGATATCTACAATCACGTGACTGGAGACTTCCTTACGGAAGCCAAAGAGCAGGCGGAGAGCATTCATGGACCGCACAAACCGTTGGCCTCACGTTACAAGGGCATGACTGCGGACGAGCTTAAGGTTTTCAGGGAGGCTCAAGCACGCCAACTGAAAGAAATCAAGGTAAATGACGAATGATGGAACGGTTGTTTTACACGGTTTTAACGATGCACCGCAGATCGTTGAAACGGTGCCAATCGTTGTCATGGCCATGCGAGAGCACGGTCAGGGATACAAAAAATTTGGCTCGCTCAAGGAAAACTTCTTTTTCCAGGAAATGAAAATAGAGGAGAAACGAAGGGACGAAGAGTGGGATCGATTGATGGCTACGCAAACCGAGATCGCAGATTCGTATCAACGTGAAATTGATCGGAAGAAAGCGTAAAAACTTTTGTTTTTCATGCGTAGTGAAATGTGAGAATTAGATAAATCTTTATTAATATTTCAGGGAAATTAAAAAGAAAATAGCAAAGGAGAATTTGGAATTAGCGGAGCAACAAAAATCTCATCAGGAATATCTCAATTATGTGCTTTATAAAAATAAAGCAACCGCAGCCTTTTATGAACAATTTAATAAAGACGCTCGTTAAAAATAAAGCTTTTTTGCGATAATACGAATAAATTATTTTTTCAATATGAATATATTTTTCTATTTTTGTTATTTTTAATTTTTTCCCAGTAGTTATATATATATATTTTTATAAATATTGATTGTTTGAAGCATTTATTTGTTGGTAAATGATAAATTTGTTGTGAATCATCGTCAGTCGGTATTATATCATCTGTTTATATGATATTTTATACTTTACAACAGGAAATGTTTTACGGTTAAACGTTTCAATATATTCATTTTATTACAATGCTTTAAATACACAGTAAGATATTAAAATTTTATGTAGTATTATCGATCTTCCTGTTAAATACATGCATTTATGCACTATCGGTAAAAAGTAATGTTGATGTTTACGCGTCGTGTCTGAATAATGTTATTTGAAATATCTCACAAAATATTGCAAATATAAATTAAATAGATATTATATTTTCCACCATGTTTCTTAGCACGACATAATATTATAAAAGATACATCATTATAAAGATAAAATGCACGATGATGACAGAACATGATGCTCAGAAACAAAGGTTAGCTTTAAGGTTAGCTTTATATATCTATACTCTTTATTTACGTTAAATATATTTGATAAACTTTTTTTTATCAATAGCTCAGAGCAAAATATGTTAGAAGAACTGGAAGAACAACATGTGCTCGTGGAAAATCTTAAACAAGACTTGCATTTATGCAAGGTATAAAATTAATTACATATTGTAAACATTACGTATATTTATTATATATTTTTTTTTTAGATAGAACAACATAATATACGAGCCGAATTAGAAATTCTACGAAATGAAGGCCAAAAAGTTGATGATATAAAAGAATCCTTAAATCGTATTCATTTGGAAGAATGCGATAATCAAGATGCACATAAAAAAGAAATAGGGAATTTACAAGAGCGTATTGTATTATTAGAATCAGAAAAAGATTCAGCTATGCAACTCTGGCATATTTCCTTAAATACCATAAGTGCCTTAGAAGACCAATTAAAAGGATTTCATATAGATGGAAAAGGAACAAAGTTTTATCAAGAACAAGCTAATGCTATTAAAGAAAGTTATTCAGAAGCTATTAAAATGTTGGAGGAAAAACTAGCCTTGGCCAAGGATAATTTCATAAAATATCAAACACTGTATGAAACAAATAAAGAAAAAATTAATAATTTGACTAAAGAAAAAGATGAACTTTTGGAGAAATATAAAAATCTTCAAATGAATACTCAAGATAGAGGTCAGTAACATTTAATATATATAATACATTATAACAAATAGAGATATTATTTTTATTTTTTAAAAGATAGGAATAACCAACTGACAATAGAAACATTAAAACAAGATTTAGCTTATGCTAAAACAGAAACCAATAAAATAGTACAAACAAAATTGGAATTGGAAAAAAAATTAAATGAAGTTAAAATATATGCTGATAATGTGATGGAAAGAGACAAGGAAACAAAAAAAAAAATGGCAGAAGCTATTGAATTAATAGAATCTGCAGTTAGGGAAAAAGATATAATATTACATCGTGAAGCTCTTGTATTGGAAGAGAAAACCAGATTAGAGCATAGACTAAATGTAATAGCTAATGAATATGATGGAAAAATACAAGAGTTGAATAAAATTACTAGAGATGAAATTGAACAAAATACAAAAAAATATCTAACAGAGATTAATGAACTTAAATCAGAATTAAAGACAAAAATTATTGAAACAGAAAAAGCTCAAAGAGAATTAAAATTTATCGAAGAAGAATTGAATAAAATACGTAGAGATTCTAGCGTAAAAATATTGGAATACGAACAAAAAGCAAAACGTATGGAATTTCAATTACAAATATATGATGAAACAATAGCTAAAAACAAATATGATGTGGAAATTAAACAGTTAAAAGAAAAAATTATTATTCTTGAAGATAAATTAGGCAGTTCAAATGATAAATTACAAAAGCTAGAGCAACAACAAAGTATTAACACGCAAGACCAAATAAAAAAAACTGATAGCGAAAATAAGGATAAAATGAAACAATATTCTGATTTAGAAAATCAGTTAGCTAAAACATTAGATGATAAGGAAAATCTTGTAATACAATTAAAATCATTGAAACATGATTTTGAATATGAAATACAAAAAAGAGATAGTGAAAAATATTCTCTTGAAAATAAAATTCGGGAATTGGAAATTAATCTTCATAAAGCAACTTGTATAGGAGAAAATAATCCGAAAAATAATATTACTAATGAAATAAATCCATATAATATTAAAGCTAAACCTAGTTTTGATATAACGTAAGTAAATATAAATATATATCAAATTAAATGATATTACATGTAACATTTTTATTATAGAGTAGAAAACAAATGTCATTGTTGTCAATCTGTATTATCAGATCATATGAATAAACTGCAGGAAAAGTTTGACAGGAAAACAAAGGAATTAATCAATCATGTTCAAATTCATCAAAAACTAAGTAAAAAGTATGCAAATTTTTTACATGAATAAAAAATGATCATTGAAAATATCTTTTTATTAATTTATATTTTAGATGGAGAGACGAAGCAAAATCTTTGACAGTTAAATTTCAAGGAAAATCTAAGGAACAAAGGGGAAAGATGAATATTTTACAAAAAGAAAACAATGAATTACATAAAGAATTATTAAATTGCAAACAACAATTGGCACAACATGCAATTCAAGATATACAAAAGTGTGTGTGTATATTTACTGTATTGATGTAATAATAAGATATTTTAAATTATCTATAATCTACATCTTTTTTCAGAATTAATGAGCCAAATGAAATTAGGTGACAATATTTTTCTTTACTTACAAGAAATTTATAATGGATGTTTAACTGTGTATATGTTACAAGAATAATGTAAATTTATTCACATTAAAAATACATTTTATATTGCAAATATCTTATTCTTTTAAAACACTGTCTATCTATTCATTATAAAGTCAATATTTTGCTTACTCTTTGGATACAATGCAAGCTGTAAATAAACTAGGAAACCAATATAATATTTCATTTTCACCTTGTTCATCTAACCATGCCAATCCTTCTTTTACCATATGGTCCAAAGCTTTCTGTGTCCTATCTGATTCCCATTTTAATTCTTTACATAACATGGATCTTGAAACATATGCATTTCCAGATAAACTAGCTTGTTGTAATACAGCAGTATGGTCCATACTGAGTTCACCAGGTACAGATTGTACTAAGTGTTTACCTCTTCCAATTGGAACAATAGAAAATCCATTTCCAAAAATTTTTAATTTTTTAGCTGCAGCTAGTAAGTCTTCATTTGTAATTTCTTGATGTTCTTTTCTACGACCTCTAGCTTGAATTAATCTTGCTCTAAGTTCATCCAATGATATTAATCCACCATTTTTATAATTTGTAGCCATACAAACTTCAACAATTTGAACAGCAAGTTCATAATAAAAGTCTCCTATGCCAAGAACTGACCAAAATCCTTTACCTGAGGCTAAAGGATCTACACCTATTGATGCACACATTTCGGTAAATTGCCGCCGAAAACGTGCATTTTTTTTAATTTCATTTTTATACTTTGTTGCGAATTCCTCTAGATTCACACGAAAAGTTTCCATCTGTTTTGTCATTTGCTCAAATTGATTTTCTTGAATCTCAGTTCCCTTATCTTTATATTTTTCTTGCTCCAGCTTTTGTTTTTGGATAGCACCAACGCCTGCCTTTCGCCTCATCGTGCAATATATTTTATACAATAGTATGGATTATGAAAATACGATTAGAAATTACACTGATGCAAAATTAAAATGCTTTTATCCAGTTTTTATATGATTAAGGTACTAACTGTCATATTTTTTTCAGTATAACCGATACCGTATCAATTTTTTTTTCACAAAACATTAACCTAGTATTGATACAATAACACTACTATATATTTTTCTCATGATACATGTTCTGATTCTTGAACATTTTTTCAACACAAAATCGAGACATTAAAAAATATACGATATAACGATTTATAACGCGCACAAAATGTTTATTAATCAAAAAAATTTACGTTTTTCTTGTCGTTTAATCTTTCTTCTTACATAGTTCGAATGTCTTACACAAGGTGTCAGTTGGCTTCAGATATCAAAATTTAAATATGGCGTCGGCAATGGAAATTGACGATGAAGAAAGTGATTTACCAACTTCGAGTAGTAGTAAAGGAGAAAAAAAACGTTTTGAAGTAAAAAAGGTGAGATAAAGAATTAGAAGAAATATTTTATAAAACACGTATAAATTCTTTCAATTTTAAGAAGTTGATCTTCACATTCTAACCTCATTTTTGCATTGTCATTTTTATTATTATGTTCATATGATTTATACATAATATTTAGTTAAAAGTACTCAATTTTATATTGCAGTGGAATGCTGTGGCTCTATGGGCATGGGGTATGTAATCGTGAATTTAATTATATAAATAATATATCGTAAATTATAACATGATTGTTTTAACACATTTTTTATGACAAGATTTATCAATAATTATTTAATTTATTATTTTACAGATATTGTAGTAGATAATTGCGCAATCTGCCGTAATCATATAATGGATTTATGTATTGAATGCCAAGCAAATCAAGCATCAGCCACTAGTGAAGAATGTACCGTAGCTTGGGGTGTATGCAATGTATGATTTTTATCATCATAGCTTTTTATTAATACATATTTAAGTTAATACACATTTAGTGTCAATTGCTCAAGTAAGATATTTTAACTTTTTATTTTAATTTTTTGACATTTTTTTTCGCATAGCATGCATTCCATTTCCATTGCATCTCACGTTGGTTGAAGACTCGACAAGTTTGTCCACTCGATAATCGAGAGTGGGAGTTCCAAAAGTAAGTACAATTAACAGCATACAACAATACACTATTGGCTTCTTAAAGCTTTTGAAAATTATTTGTGTGTTTGTAGAAGAAGCACAAAAGATTTTCATATATGTAATATGTGTATTTTTTTTTTTTCTCATATATTTAAATTTAATTATAATTTAATTATTATTTTTACGTTTGTTTTAGATACGGTCATTAGCTGAGTGTGTTCAATTACCGCAGATATCCGAACCCTCCAGAATGCCAAAGCCGATGCAAGTTTAAGTATATGTGTGAATAAAAGACAAGTAAATAATTTGTTGTGACATTATCATTAAAAAAAATCGGTGGCATATCTATGAGCGTCTTTGCAGCACTTCAGATGAGGAAAATAAAGTAAAAATTCGCTTGAAACACAATGTGATTAAGACATTATTGCACCAGTACTATCAAGTTTATAATGGTATATATATTGAGTTGGATCAGCAGAAAAACTATTGAAAGTTTCTTATCTTGTCGGTTATGCATTATATAACAATGTAATTCTTAGTCTTAAGGACTTAAATAAAGAAATATCATGAATTAAATAATAATATTTTATATGAATCATTGAATATTTTTTTGTATCATATTATTAAAAATTATTGATAATTTTACAGAAAAATTTGGAAATCATTTGGAGTTAAAAAGATAGGAAAGGAGTATTTTACATCGATAAATTTTTCCTTGAATTTTTTTTTTTTTTTTTTTTACCGAATTTTCCAATGATCCGCTTACCTGATTTTAAGAAATACCGTCTAGCAAAAGTTTTGTCCTCCCTTTTCTCAAGAATAGCAAGCTCGTATAATCCACTCTTTCGATCAGCAATTTTTATACTTTAAATGGATATCGATTTCATCGAGACACATAATATAAGGTTGAGAAATTTTTTAATATTTTTGAATAAAATATATATATGTTGAATATAAAAAAATTTATATATAAAATTATATATATTGCATATTTATATACTATATAAACTTATTGGTTTCTTAAGATTTAGGTATCCGAGAAGGTCGATGAAGCTTTTTCTCTCGAGACATTAAGTAAAATCAATCTTGCTGAAGTATCAACGACAGGTATCGTAATAATAGCTTTTACGTTTCAACAAACTGCACGGTTGCTCTGCCCTTATGTTCTTATCATTAATCCGTGCTATTATAGTACCTGGATTCTTAACGAGACATAACAGCAGCCTATCGCCGTGACCCGTGACGTCATGTCGAGGCCAATCGATCGCTTTGAGATCATCTCGAATCCCTTTTCCAGTTCTAGTGTATTCAAGAGGTATGGGCAATACTTATCAAGCGGCATAACGTGGAACCCCCGACGAGCTGGCTTCTAATCCGGGCATACAGCGAAAATTACATCCTCGGAGACCAAGCGACATTCACCGGAACTGCGAGAGAGCATTAGTAAGCCTTTTCGATTCTAATTTTTCCTCGTTTCGTCTACTTTTTTACTATTTCTTTTTTTATTTTTTTTTTATTAAGATGTTCACTTTCGTCCATTGTGCAATTTTTGTCATAGCAGGAAACACGATATCATAGAAATGATAGGATTCGTTTATATTTTAATTCCTCGGAACACGAGTACGCATTTCAATCGCAAATCGAATCAAATCGCAATAAACGATCGAGCGATCGACGATATTATCTGTCAAATCATTATGGTTATTTTCAATCGCATATTCGACCAGAGGAATTAGAATTTTGCAATATACACACACACACATACACACACATATTGATAAATATTTATAATTTAAATATTCGAAAGAGAGAAGAAGAGAAGCGAAGAAACGAAGAAGAAGGAAAATCGGTGAAGGTTGTAAAGAGTGGGAAACGCGAATAACTCGAGAAGTGGATTTCAATGATTTGCAGAAAACAAGTTTCGCGGGAAACACAGGTAAGCATGGTTGGTTGAAATATTTATCTGGCCACGAGAGATGGAATATAAATACAATTTGCATTCTCGCCCTCGAGATAGAGGGCGATAGATGTTTCGGTTAGGGGAACGACCACAGCCGGGTTGAGGAGGCTCGAGAGGGCGTTGAGGAGGAGGCAAAAGGGGTAGCGGAGGATGGGAGTACGAGTCGCGAAGGTCTCATTTCCGGCGGAAACAGAGGTTCCCTCACCCCAGCTTCGAGTCACCCTCCCTTCTTCTCTCTTGTCTCGTCCAGATGGCGGCAGAGTCCAATCGAATTAAATACATTCCCGAGGATCGTCCAATCGACTACCACCGCCGATGGTATTTGCCGATGGTGGTAGTTGTTCCGCTAATACCACTGTCATTTCTTTCGCCAAAGTCTCGTCCTTCCAACTCTTATTTCGGCCACATCGACAGCCACCGAATAATTTACTTGTTTTTACCGGTTCTTTTTATCACCGCGCTTTACGTAGCGGCGGAGCAGCGAGTATATCGAAAATTCATTAAAGCCCCGTGTAATTGGGTCGAGAAAGAGAACCGCCGCTGACCCTTCGCACGGGCTTCTTTACGCTCCGCGCTCACCGAGATAATTTTATTTCGAACGCTCGATGATTTCACGTATCGATACGTTTTCACCCTCGCAGCGATGATGACCATGCCCGACATCACGACAAGAAATTGGCTATTGCACTTTTTGGCGAACCATTATTTTCCCCACGGTATTTGCGAGGAAGAAGAGGAAAGGGGGGTGCAGTTTCCCCTATATATATATATAAAAGCGGTATTTCAAATCGCCGTAGGATCGAAGCGTTTCCGCAAGAGTTGCACGTTGTATTATTTAAAAAAGTTTCCCTGCTGCGAAGACCATCCATTATCTGCGGCTCCGATAAATCCGCCAAGGCGTTCTCTCTCTCCTTGTGTTTGGCGGATATATCAAGGTTTCCTCGTCCTGTCGCTGTCGCATCGCCTTTTCCTCTTTTTCCGTTCTCCCCGTTTCCTTCCTGCCAACGTGGAATCGACAGGATAGGATCGGTAAACCCGATAAATTGCGAGATTTTTCCATGACCGATCGAAGGGGCGTTCCACCGTTCTCCGAATTATCGCGAAAATGGTTGAATTCGCGCGAAATGTTGTTTTCGCATACGTTGCGGAATGTTAAATGCAAATTCGCGCACGGTCCTTGATTATTTCGCTTTCAAGGTGTACCCGCTATAAATAATCTCGTCGTTAATAATAATCGATATTCTCGTTGCGTGGCCGATTCAACCCGATAATAACTATTATCGTTAATAGATGACTCGTTATACGACAATTACGATCCCCGCTTATGGGGCGACTTTAAATTCCACGGTAAATTAAATTAGGTAAATGGATTGCGACTGATGGCGCTAGATTGACATACGAATTTCATTCATAGTCGCACGCGCCATTCGTTTCGAATAAATTCCAGTTCCTGGCAATTTTGTTGGGGCACGTTGTACACGGTCATCGATATCCGGCCCCGTAGGAGGGCGAATCTAAGATTTCTCTTTCTCGCCATTGCAGTTGCGCGTTGCAGATTGCATTCGATGCCGGTGGTGGTAGGCAGGCCGGTCGGCGTAGACACGTAGGTAAATCCCCGGTTTAAATCCGGAAAAAAAACAAAACCTACCGGCGAACCTACGTTAGAGGATTGCGACGGTTGCCAACCCAATACCCTCCGTTCTTTCTCCTTTCGCGAGAAGATTCATGCGCGTTTTTCTTTCTTTCTTTTTTTTTTCTTTTTCGGCAAAATTCCTCGGAACGATTATCGATTCGCGACACTTTACACACGTTCGTTCGAGAAAAACGCGAGGGAACGAAATCGTGGAGGAGATGTTGGGACGTTCCAATTTCCTCCTCGAACTGAAAGTTATTTACACAAGGGCGGGCGGGCAATGAGGAAATCTCGGCGCGGAAGATGGACGGACAGTAAGTGGAGCATTAAGTTGGAAATTTCGGAACACGGTGTACACGGCGTACAACGCGTACGTGGTATTCTTGGTCGAGACGAGTCCGAGAGCACTCGATAGGCTAAGTAAATCAGAGGCCTTTGGTCAAGAGTGCGGCCTCCGCTCCGTTTAGGAGTTGGAAGGGAGGGGAGCGGGAGGGGTTGGAGGAGCGACGAAGGAAGGAAGAGGGACGCAATAGCGGTGGCAGGAGCAACAAAGGGTTGGCTAAGAGCTCTTCACCGACCACTCGCTCGCTTTCTCCAACCACCCAAGCATCACCTACTTCTCGC